CCTCATATGCATGGCCTATGCATGCAGCACTGCCAGGGGGTGAATGAGGAGCCAACTGAGAGTTTATGCATCTGGATTAAAGGGAAGGCAGGGACAGGGAATGTTACAGTGAGGGGCTGCTACAGGCCACCTGACCAGGAAGATGGAGCAGGTGAAGCCCTCTATAGACAGATAGGAGCAGCCTCATGTTCACAGGCCTGGTCCTCATGAAGGACTTCAGCCACCCCCATATCTGTTGGAGGGACAACACATCAGGGCACAAGCAATCCAGGAGATTCCTGGAATGCACTGACAATAACATCTTTCTCCGGGTAAATAGAGGAGCCAATGAGAGGTGCTATGCTGGACCTTGTTCTCACCAACAAGGAGGGGTGAGGGAGAGCTGAGCACGCACATGACCAATGTGATCAAGCAATGCCCGTTTATTACAACTAAGAAAGCCCTTTGATAAATTCTCCCGCACACGTGAGTAACATGCTGTACAAGTCCTCAAGATTGGACAGTTAACTTAGCCTGCTCTTTAAACCTTCTTATGATTGGATAAAAAGTGCTACATCAGCCTTGCCAGGCTTCCCACCTTGTGTAACTTCCTCTTCCGTCCCAACCCCTTCTGGGGGTTGTTTGTCTCATCGAGTTTCTCCCCCCTCATTCAGGGTCACATCCTTATCGCATTCTTGCGCGGCTGAGGCTCTTATCCGTCTTGTTCTCACACAGGATTGCTCACATGTCCATTCTCTCACAGTAAGTCCTCTTGAATCCCAACAGAGGGGCTGGTGGGGAATGTGAAGCCCAAGGGCAGCCTTGGCTGCAGTGACAATGAAATGTTCAAGATCCTGAGGGCAGTGAGGAGGGTGCACAGCAGGGTCATTACCCTGCACTTCAGGAGAGCAGACTTTGGCCTCTTCAGGGATCTGCTTGGCAAAGTAGCTTCCATAGGTACTTTGGTAATAAAAGGATGACTAGGGGAAAAATAGGCCCTCTCCAGAATGAAATGGGTGACTTGGTCACCCAGGATATGGAAAAGGCTGAGGTACTCAAATAATTTTTGCCCCAGTCCTTACTGGCAAGGGTTCCAGCCCCTCAACCAAAGATGCAGAAGACAAAGGCAGGGACTGGGAGAGTGAAGAACCACCCACTGAAGGAGAAGGTCAGGTTGAGATCTCCTAAGGAACCTGAAGGTGCACAAGTCCATGGGACCTGATGAGATGCATCCTCAGGTCCTGAGAGAACTGGTGGATGAAGTGGCTAAGCCATGATCCATCCAGCTTGAGAAGTTGTGGAATTCCAGTGAAGTTCCCACTGATTGGGAAAGGGAAACATAACCCCCATTTTTAAAAAGGAAGATAAAGAGGACCCAGGGAACTACAGGCCAGTCAGTTTCACTTCTGTGCCCGGCAAGATCATGGAGTGGATCCTCCTGGAAAGTATGCTAGGGCACATGGGCAATAAGGATGTGATTGGTGACAGCCAGCATGGCTCCACAAAGGGCAAATGGTGCCTGACAAATCTGGTGGCCTTCTATGATGGGCTTACAGTGTTGGTGATTAAAGGAAGAGCCACTGACATCATCTACCTGCACTTGAGTAAAGCTTTTGACACTGTCCCACATGACATCCTTGTCTCTAAACTGGAGAGACGTGGGTTTGATGGATGGACCTCTTGGTGGATAACGAATTGGCTGGGTGTCTGCAATGAAAATGGTCAACAGCTCAATGTCCAAGTGGAGAGCAGTGACAAGTGGCATGCCTCAGGGGTCAGTATTGGGACGGATGCTGTTTAACATTTCTATTGGCAACACAGGCAGTGGGATTGAGCACACCCTCAGCAAGTTTGCCGATGACACCAAGCTGTGTGGTGCAGTCAATGCGCTGGAGGGAAGGGATGCCATCCAGAGGGACCCTGACAGGCTTGAGAGGTGGGCCTGTGTAAACATCATGAAGTTCAACAAGGCCAAGTGCAAGGTCCTGCACATGGGTCAGGGCAATCCCAAGCACAAATACAGGCTGGGCAATGAGTGGATTGAGAGCAGCCCTGCGGAGAAGGACTTGGGGGTATTAGTGGATGGAAAACTGACTATGAGCCAGCAATGTGCACTCGCAGCCCAGAAAGCGTATCCTGAGCTGCATCAAGAGCAGTGTGGGCAGCAGGTCGAGGGACGGAATCCTCCCCCTCTGCTCCACTCTCATGAGACCCCACCTGCAGTGCTGTGTCCAGCTCTGGGGTCTCCAACATAAGAAGGACATGGACCTGCTCAAGCGTGTCCAGAGGAGGGCACAAAGATGATCAGGGGGCTGGGGCACCTCTCCTACAAAGACAGGCTGAGAGAGTTGGGGTTGTTCATCCTGGACAGAGAAGGCTCTGGGGAGAGAGTGGCCTTCCAGTACTTAAAGGGGGCCTGCAGGAAAGTTGGGGAGGGACTCTTTATCAGGGGGTGTAGGGATAGGATGAGGGGTAACAGTGGGTAGATTTAGATTAGATCTTGGGAAGAAATTCTTTACTGTGAGGGTGGTGAGACACTGGAAAATGTTGTCCAGACAGGCTGTCATTGCCCCCTCCCTGGAGGTGTTCAAGGCCAGGTTGGATGGGGCTTTGAGCAGCCTGGTCTGGTGGAAGGTGTCCCTGCCCATGGCAGGGGGGTTGAAACTAGATGAACTTTAAGGTCCCTTCCAACCAAAACCATTCTGATTCTGTGATATGACTTACATTGTTGGGATTCTAGAGGGCTTTCTGTGAGAGAATGGACATGTGAGCAATCCTGTGTGAGAACAAGACGGATAAGAGCCTCAGCCTGAGCAAGAATGAGATAAGGATGTGACCCTGAATGAGGGGGGAGAAACTCGACGAGACAAACAACCCCCAGAAGTCAAACAACCCCCAGAAGCCTGGCAAGGCTGATGTGGCACTTTTTATCCAATCATAAGAAGGTTTAAAGCGCAGGCTAAGTTAACTGTCCAATCTTGAGGACTTGTACAGCATGTTACTCACGTGTGTGGGAGAACATTATAAAAGGGTTTTCTTAGTTATAATAAACAGGCATTGCTTGATCACATTGGTCGTGTGCGTGCTCAGCTCTCCTGCATAATCTGAATTTCAGAATGTACATTAACTAGTGAGGAATGATGTAAGACTCAGGCTGACAGAAACATAGTCAGAAGAATTTGAATTGTAGAACTTTTGTAAGAATTTAGGATTTTCTAAAAGAAATCAGATGCAGAGATTGAGCATACATCCCCAGCTAATGTTCAAGCAATCTGAAGTACATATGAGCACAACTATTATGTTCTGCTTCTATCTTTTTTCTTTTTTAAAAAAATCTGTTCAGTCATGTTATGGTCTGTAATGTCTACTGTAGAATTTAGTATTTAAGGGAAGCATCATGGCCATCATTCAGTGCTTCAAATCACTGTATTTTCCCACAGGATTTGAATTAATTTTATATAGTTGAATTGACATAAGATACACTGCATATGCTCCTTTTGGTATGCACATGTATAGTGGAGGTGAGTATTCTGCCTTTGGGATAATGTGAGAACTTGACATCGAGCTTGAGCCTGGGGACACATGTGGCCTGTTTTTCACTTTGGCCATATGAATCCAGTTCAAGAGAGAATACTGTAATTAAGTTTAACTTTGAGCCACATTTAGACAAAATATAACTGGCAGTCTTGTCAATAATTTTAATAAAATCATGCTTCCTGTGCTACCAATGATATTTCACAATCCTTTTAATGCCAACTGTAACTAAAAATATATCAGTAGTTCTAAAAAGTGGATTGGTTTAAGTGTCTGAAGGAAAGAACAAAGTGTAATTTTTAATTTTTTTTTTTGAGGGGTTTTTCAAAATTTGAAAGATAGGTCACCTTGTTTAGAGTTGTAT